GTGTATTCATGTCTGTGCCGGGGACCTTTGCAGCGAAACCTTGTGACTTACCCTTGTATAAGCTGTGAGCTTTTAAATTTGTGACAAGGGATGGAGAAAAATGTTCTACTCATTGCAAGGAAACCCTCACTTAAGCGTCATGGACCACCAGCACTTAAAACCCATGGACCTTCAGCTGGTCGTCCTTAGCCAGTCCGATCTGCAAAGAGAAAGGAAGGGGGAGGTTCAGGTCTATTTTTGATGCAAACAATCCTTTTCTTTCCTGCTGCCCGGAAGCCAGCAGCAGGAATGCACACAACACTGCAACGGGCAGGCTTCCAATTGGGAGAATGCCCTTGGTCACCCTTTGTCCAAGTTCCACCTGCACACATGCTGGACTAGGGTCTAGGACAGGGGTTCTCAACCTTCCTCATGCGGCGACCCTTTCATACAGTTCCTCATGTGGTGGTGACCCCCAACCATAAGATTATTTTTGTTGCTACTTCATCACTATCATTTTGCTACTGTTGTGAACTGTAATGTAAATATCTGATATGCAGCATGTATTTTCATTGTTACAAGTTGAACATAATTAAAGCATAGTGATTAATTACAAATATATGTAATTAGAAGTCATGAAGTGTCATTTTACCTCCAATACGCTTTCAACTCAGCAGCTGATTTCTACACGTGTGACTGGTCTGCCTAAGTACATGATGGCGCCAACCCTGTCACACACACCTGTATTTGTATGGGTGTATGTGATGGGGTTGGCGTGATGATGTCATCATGCCAGGTACTTGTATGTGACATGTGTGCACGTGGGCGGACCTGCCTGGAGACAAGAGGAGCTGTGTCTCAGTTCCTAAGGAAATGTGTTTTCCGATGGTCTTAGGCAACCCCTGTGAAAGGGTCCTTAGACCCCCAAAGAGGTTGCGACCCACAGGTTGAGAACTGCTGGTCTAGGAGCTTGTGAACCAGCTCTTCAATTAAGGATAGAAGTTATGAGTTTGAAAACTTGGGGGTTTAAACTATGATCTTCACGAGCCACTGACATCCAGAGCCAGTTCGCATCCTTTACCCTCTGTTGATGTGCAACTGAAATGCATCCTCACAATGTAGATCCATACGCCCAGTATACTTACAATCAATTGCGGTCTGCCTACCCTTACACCAAAGCGTAACAACCCCCCCATTGGCCACCCCCTGCCGCCGCCGCCGCAGCAGCGAGGCAGGATCTGAGACTGGCACACACAGACCGAACCCACCTCTACAAGGAACTGGCATATGTGCTTGCGCTGGTCGCCCTGGAGTTGAATCACTTCTCCATATTCTGGATGCTCAATCACAGTGCCATTGCAAGCAAATTTCTGCAAGCACAAAGTGGTAAAACAAGTCAGGCAGGGCAGCAGCATTTGTGCACCAAACAATGCCTTCCGGAAGGCAGCACTTCAAACCCAGTGGCCAATCCTCCAGGGCAAGATGTGGCTGTCCGCCCCTGCACAGATTCACAGCTTCGGAAATGCTAGGGAGGAGTTCAAGTCTGCTTTAGACGAAGGCACCGACGGGTTCGAATCCACTCGATGGTAGTGGGTGGGGCTTTGGTCAATGACCACATCCCGGCGGTGCAAAGGTGGCACACTAAACCAGAGACTTGGCTGATGTAATGACGACCACAGGGGCAGTTCTACTCGGTTCCAGTTCGACGCTGAATGGCCGCAAGGCGACAAGGCTCGCAACACAAGTGGCATCTCCTTCTGGACAAAAGAAAAGGGCTTTTCCCAAACGCTATTCAAGACCCACCTTCTTAAAGGCCTTCACCAGTTTCTTTTTGTCGTAGTCATCGGCGATCCCTTGGACAGTGGTGAGGGTCTTCCTGCCGTTGCGCTGTTGAATTCTTATATGGATATAATCCTCGGTCCCCGCGGGAAGCTGGTCATCACCCTTACTGGCATCAGCAAAGGGGTCTGGGCAGAAAGGCAAGTTCGTTTACGGTGGGGGCTCAGATGTGTGCCAACCTCCGCCGGGAGCTTTTGGGAGCCCAGCAACGGCAGGCGACGTCGCACGGGGCCGGGGGCAGGTTGGGAGCCCTTTGCTGGCTCTCTCCCAGCAGGTCAGGCCGGCACAATCGGGGGAGCCCGCGCTCCGGAGGCAGGGCCGAGCTCTCCCCCCCATTGGTCTATGCGTGCGTCACTTATGGTTGGCACCGCCTTCTCTTCCGTCTCTATGACAACGGCAGGGGCCACAGCCGACGTAAAGCAGGGGTGGCGGGAGGCGGTGGCTCTGGTCCTTGGAGGACAGGGTGCTGTTAGCAAATGCACCACCTGAGATGCCTGGCCGGCCCCGGGGATCCAGGTCTCGGTCTCCAGGTTGAGGAGAGCCCGGACAGGTGCCGCCTTCCAGGCCGTCGGCAGGCCCGGGGCGCCCGCTCCCCCGCCCGCGCCCGTGCTTACCGAAAGACTGGAGGTTCTGGATAGCGGGCATACGATGCGATTCCTTATCCTCGCGGACACGGCCGGGAGGAGAAGGCGGGCGCAGAGGGCTGAGCGTCCGGTAGCAAGGGGGTTCGAAGAGGCTCAAGGAGGAGGGTGCAGAAGCGTCCAGGGCGGCGCAGTGGCGGGGGCGGAGGGGCGGAGCCTGTATGCCCTTATACAGCCGCCTCCTGACGCCAGCGCGCTGCCTTACGTCCGGGCCCACGTGCCTAGACGCCGTCGCTTTCAATTGGTCCGGGGGCGGGGCCGAGGGTGAGCGCGTGCGCAGAAACTCTGCGCCGCGGAAGGCGTCGTCGCCAGCGAGCTGGGAGGCGGAAAGGGGAGGGAAGCTGGGTTCTTTCAGGCGCCTGCGCAGTGCCACGAAAACCGGGCAAGCGTCTGTCGCGCGTGCGCACTCTGTACCTTGGCGGGCCCATGTTCTTTCCTGCGCTGTAGCCACGCTTGCTGGATGAGGCTTTCCCCCCCATGGGTTAGGTTGGCATTCCTTAAAGGATTTAGGAAGTGATTCTCCAAACACGACGAATGCTAGCTATTTCATACTCAGCTACCCACCCACTCCTGCTCTCTTTTGCAGGCAGTTTAGGGCGGCATTTTGAAGATTTAATGAACATTAATGAGATCAAAGTCTTAATCTTATGCAGATGAACTCGTTTAAGGGACGAATGTGGCAAATACTTTAGTGTGAATTGTTCTGTGGAGTCAGATGAAGAATTCAAGCACCAGAAGCTTATTTGTGTGTGTGAGGGTGGGGGTGGGGGAAGCGGAGGAAGAGCCTTCCCAGGCTTCCATGAAATAAAACAAAAACAACCCACGACCATCCAGTCGATTCTGACTCAAAGCTGCCCCGGCGAGTTTCCAAGGCTGTAGCTCTTTACTGGGGTAGAAAGCCTCATCTTTCTGGCTGGTGGTTTTGATAAGGCTGTTAAGATTTGGGATGTGTTGATTCGAGAAATTCTGTTTATTTCTGCGAGCGCCTAACAGAAGGAAGCAGTGGGGTTAAAACCCCCTAAAACTGCCTTAAAAATCCAGGGAAAGGCAAGCAAATTATATACTCTCAGCCATGTGGTAAGTTGAGAGAATGTTTAACAGGTTACAATGAACATGGGACAAAGGAGGGGTGGGTCCCAGAGAGGGGTGGCATACTGTCACTCCTTCAAGGTCTCAGGCTCCAATCCTTTTCTAAAAGGCCTTGCTTGCTCAAGTTTGTTCGTCAAAACTTGCTGAATTAGAACACTGTTCAGTTTAAAAGGGAATTTAACTGCACTCAGGTCTTTCTGCAAACCAAGTCTTAAACAGATTAGATTGCAAACCATGTCACATTTCTCGCATTGATTAGCACCAGTCTAAATCTGTTCACTCATATAAGTTTGAACTGCTGGCCTTGCTATTAGAAGTCCAACATGCAGCCGCTATGCCACCAGGTCTTGTCCCTCTGTTGTCCTTAGGTGCCACGAGTCAGCTCTGACCCATAGTGACCTTCTGCACAACAGCATGAAACACCGCAGTCCTGTGCCATCCTCACCACCATTCCTTTGCCTGAGCCCACTGATGTAGCCACTCTGTCCGTTTCTCTTGTCCAGGGTCTTCCTCTTTTTCACTGGCCTTCCACTTTACCAAACACGATGCCCTTCTGGAGGGACTGGTCTCCCCTGATAATATGTCCAAAGTATGTAAGTCCTGCCATCCTCACCTTTAAGGAGCACTGTGGTCTTATTTCTTTCAACACAGACCCGTGTGTCCTTTTAGCAGTCCATGGTACTTTCAGTATTCTTCTCCAGCACCACAATTCAGATACATCGATTCTTCTTTAGTCTTCCCTAGTCACTGTTCAACTATCACACGCGTATGATGCAATGGAGAATACCATGGGTTGGGTCAGGCACACCTTAGTCCTCCAGGTAACATGCTTGTTGTTCAAGCCTCTAAAGAGGTCTTTTGCAACAGATTTACCTAATGCAATACGTCTTTTGATCTCTTGACTGCTGCTTCTATGAACTTTGATTGCGGATCCAAGAAAGACATTATCTTTTGAGAATTCGACCTTTTCTCCATTTATTATGCTGTCCCCGTTGGTCCAGTTGTGAGGATTTTGGTCTTCCTTACACTGAGTTGTAATCCCTACTGAAGGCTACAATCCTTGATCTTCATCAGCAAGTTCTTCAATTCCTCCTCGCTTTCAGCAAGAAAAGCTGTGTCATCTCTATATCACAGGTTGTGAATAAGCCCTTCTCTAATCCGGATGCCACATTCTTCTTCCTATAATCCAGTTTATCTGGTGCTTCGATCAGCACACAGATTGAACAAGGATGGTGAGAGGATACAACCCCGATGCCCATCTTTCCCGATTTTAAACCATGTAGGAGTCCCTAGTTCTGCCTCTTGATCCGTGTACACGTTCTTCGTGAGCACAATGAAGTGTCTGGAGTTCCCATTCTTCTCAAGGTCATCTACAGTTTGTTATGGTTCACACAGCCGAGTGCCTTTGCACAGTCAATGAAACACAAGTAGGTAACTTTCTGGTAGTCTCTGCTTTTAGCCAAGATCCATCTGACACCAGCAATGATATCTTTTGTTCCACATCCTCTTCTGAATCCAGCCTGAACTTCTGTCAATTCCATGTCAATATACTGCTGCAACGGTTGTTAAGCAAAATTTTACTTGCATGTGATATCAATGATATCGTTCTATAGTTTCAGCATTCTGTTTGGTCATCTCTCTTTGGAATGGGCACAAATATGAATCTCTTCCAGTCAGCTGGTCGAGTAGATAGCTGTCTTCCAAATTTCCTGCTTAGACAAGTGAGTGCTTCTGCAGCTGGTGGAAACATTTCGATGGGTGTTCCATTAATTCCTGAAGCCTTGTTTTTGGCTAATGCATTCAGTGCTGTTTGAATCTCTTCCTTCAGCACCATTGGTTCTTGCTCATATGCTTCCTCCTGAAATGGTGGAATGTCAATGAGTTCTTTTGGGTACAGTGATTCTGTATTCTTTCCATTTTGAAGCTTCCTGTATCGTTCAATATTTTGCCTAGAGACTCTCAAAATTGGAACTCAAGGCTTGAATTTATTGAGTTTTTTAAGTGTCAGATATGCTGGGCATGTTCTTCCCTTTTAGTTTTCTAATTCTAGGCCTTGCACATTTCATTATAGTACTTGGGCTTGTCTTCTTGAGCTACCCTTTGAAAATCTCCATTCAGCTTCTTGACTTCATCCTTTCTTCCATTTGCTTTAGTCACTCTATGATTTTGAGCAAATTTGAGAGTCTCTTCTGACATCCATTTGGATCTTTTCTCTCTTTCCTGTCTGTTTAATGACCCTTTGATTTCTTCATGAATGACAGTCTTGATGTCCTTCCACGGATCATCAGGTCTTCTGCCATTAGTGTTCAATGCATCAAATCTGTTCTTGAGATGTTCTTGAAATTCAAAAGATATAGCGTCTGGGGTCTTAAAGGCTTGCAGGTAAACAAGCAGCCATCTGGCTCAGAACCATCAAAGCCCACATGGAAGAAGCACACCAATGTGTGTGATCATGAGGTGTAGAAGGTACCAGGTATCAGACATCAAAGAACTATCAGTGGGTGCCCACCTTCCCGATATGATCACTGAAGACAAGTGGGTGCATAAGCAAATGTGGTGAAGAAAGCTGATGGTGCCCGGCTATCAAAAGATAGAATGTGTGGGGGTCTTAAAGGCTTGAAGATAAACAAGAGGTTATCTAACTGAGAAGCAACAAAACCCACATGGGAGAAGCATACCAGCCAGTGTTATCATGAGGTGTCGATGGGATCAGGCATCAGGCATCAAAACACAAAATCATATCAATGTGAATGAGGGGGAATGTGGAGTGGAGACCCAAAGCCCATCTGTACACAATTGGACATCCCCTTACGGAAGGATCACAAGGAAGAGACAAGCCAGTCAGGGTGCATTATTGCACCAATGAAACATACAACTTTCCTCTAGTTCTTTAATGCTTCCTCCCCCACCCCCTACTATCATTACCCCAATTCTGCCTTACAAATTTGGCTAAATCAGAGGATGTACACTGATACAGATAAGAGCTGGAAACACAGGGAATCTAGGACAGATAAACCCCTCAGGACCAATAATGAGAGTAACGATACCTGGTGGGGGGAGGAAGGGGAAACTGATCACCATGTTTGACATATAACCCCCTCCCAGGGGTCCGGACAACAGAAAAGTTGGTGAGGGGAGACAGCGCTTGGTGTAAGACATGATAAAATAATAATAATTTATAAATTATCCAGGGTTCCTGAGGGGGAAAATGAACTGATACCAAGGGCTCAAATAGAAAGAAAATGTTTTGAAAATGATGATGACGACGTATGTACAAATGTGCTTGACACAATGTATGTATGTATGGATTGTGATAAAAGCTGTAAGAGTCCCCAATAAAATTATTTTAAAAAAAGAATGTAAAATTGAAGTGACATTCTTGCATTCCTTATTTGGGACCCACTGTGCACAGATGAGGAACCCTGGTGGCATAGTGGTTACACATTGGACTGATAACCCCAAGTTCAGCAGTTCAAAACCACCAGCCCCTCAGGAAAAAGATGAGGCTTTCTACTCTTGTAAGGAGTTAGTCTCAGAAACCCAATGTGTTAGTCGGGTAGACTAGAGAAACAAATTCATAGACACTCATAAATGTATAAGAAAGTTTTATATAAAACAGCAATTGTATATTAAGAAAACATCCCAGCCCAGTCCATAAATCCGATGTTAGCCCATATGTTCATTTCCGGTCCATGCATTCTTCTTCAGACTCCCACAGCACGTGCAGGAAGGAAGATCACAGGCCAGTGGGTGGAAGGTCTTGTGGATCCAGTGGTGGTGGAAGCATCTCAGCGCTGGTGTGGGTCTCCACGAGGCTCTCCAGCTCCAGGGTTCTGGCTCCATCAGCATAGCTCCATGTATCTTCTCCACAGGGATGTCTTGCAGGGAGTGATCATGTGTCCCACCTCCAGTGAGCTATTTATCTCCGTGGCGCCTCCAAATGAGGTCATCACGCTGGGACCTGCTTGACAGGCTAGACTCCACCCCTTCACAAGTTGACACCATATTATGTAACTGCCACACCCACAGAGGCCCTTCTGCCCTGTCCTATGGGATCCCTATGAGTCGGAATCCACTCGAAGGCAGTGAGTGAGTTACCCACAGATGGAAGTGGCTGGGATCATGACCCCCCTCAAGCACATAGAAAGGATTGTGGAGACAGCTGCTGGTCACTACGCAGAGCAGGAGGTTGACCTGAGCCAGTGGCAGCTCTGACCCACGTCTGGGGGTGGGGCCGGTGGGGGTGGGGCTGTGGACCTGTGTGGTGGGCACCAGCTGCGGTTCTGCTGACGACATGTCACCCTCTGCCCCACTACCCATCCAAAGGGTAGACCAGGAAGGGACATGAGGGTACCTGATGGGGATGCTGGAAACATCGGCAGGATTGATGTGGGCGGCATATATTCATAGGGCTGTGCCCCTGGGTCCTATGGCACATGCCCAGGAGACTGTGGGTTAGTAGAGCTGGGGCTGAGCCCCGTACCCACACCGGTGGGCAATGCTCCGCCAGGCTCTCAGCTCAGCTGAGTGCTTTGCACGGGGGCCTTGGTTTCCATGGGGAAGAGGCCAGGGGAGCCCATGCAGTCCTGGGCCTATACTGGGACACTGCCTGCGACACTGGGCTACTGGGTATGGGATGGACATGGTGACTTATGGACGCTATAGCCAAGGGCCCCCAATACAGGCATCTGACTGTGGGACAGTGGCCTGTGTGTCCAGGGCCTGTCCACCACCCTCCCCAGGGACAGCCACATTACCAAGGCTTGCCAGCCTCAATACCAAGCTTCATGCATGGGGGAGGGGGGAACTGGCTGTCAGCACAGCTGTCACTGGTGAGACCTCTCCTGGAGCGGGTGCTCTCCTAGGTGCTCAGACTCTCTCCCCAGCGACGTTCCCCCTGCCTCCGAGCCATCTCTGACTCGTGTCCACCCTCTAGGGCAGAGCGCAGCTGCTCCTTTGGGTTTCCGAGGCTGTCCACCTTTACAGGAGCAGAGAGCCTCATCTCTCGCCGGTGGAGCGGCTGGCGGTTTTGAACGGCTGACCTTGTGGTCAGCAGCCCAGACTGTCACCCACTGTGTCACCTGGGCTCCACCTTAGAAGGTGGTTGTCCTCTTTTCCTTTTACCAAGGAGGGTACAGATACGTGACATCACGCAGTGGACCCCCGAGGGCGCACACCTATAATCACGAGGCGACTGCTTCTCCTGAGCCACTGGAAGATACCGCTCAGGGCCTGTGGAGCCCGCCCCAGCACTCTCCTTTCGATTATCCATAGAGCCTGATTGTTCATGTGCAGCTGCTTGTGGCAGGGTTCTAGGGCAGTGCAGGAGGCAGGGTAGTGTGGAGAGGGCGAGGTCAGCTTTGGCTGGAATCTTGACTCCACCACTCCCGCACTGGGCGCATTTAGGCAAGCTCCCACTGCGCTGACTCCTGGCGTCCTCACCATCAAGAGGGGACTACTCAGCCCAGCTCGATCTGAGGGCGCAGTGAGACCACGTGTGGGAAGCCACAAGCATGGTACTCGGATCCCTGTGGGTGCTCAGAGCCCCATGCTTCTTCTGATGGGACAATAAGCAGCACCCCAAACCACAGGATAGATCCCGAGCCTGACCCACAGGGCTCCACCTGATGGGGCCCCATCTCTTGCTCCCCGCTGCCTTCTCCCTTAGCTCTACAGCACCAGCCTTCACTTGCTTGGCAGATGGACTGTTCTGGAAAGATAGCCCATTCTTGTCAAGTTCTTTGGTTTCGCCCAAGTCCTGTAGCACAGGTAAAACTAAAGGTCAGGATCATTGTATCCCCAAGGATGCCTGCGAATGAAGCCCACCCTCTCCCTCCACCACCTGAAGGGACTAGAAGGGATGGGAAGACAGGGTCCCTCAGACAGAGCTGTCCAGCCTCACCACAGGTAGGTGACCAGTTAACCCGTCAGCCTCTGGTTACGGTGTCTATGGAGGAGGCTACGACAGCCAGGGCAGGCTTCCTGGCGAGGAAGCGAGAAGACAGGAGCTAACAGAAGCTCGGCCTCAGCGAGGGTGGTCAACTGTCTCCATTTGCCCGGGACGGAGGGGTTCCCGGCACGCAGGCTTTCCAGCATGGACACCGAGGAGGGCCAGGCAAAGGGGAAGAGTTGAGCACCCCGTCGAACCTTCTGGGCCATCTGAGAGCCTCTTGTCTCTTGGCTCCTTCTATCTCCCAGGAGCCAACCAGAGGCCTCCTCCACTCCTTTGGGCCCATAAAAGGGAAAAACACTGGAGAAAGTCAAGCCGGTGGCTGGACTCCCACGCTCGCTTAACAAGGTAGCTGAGGTTGGAGCCCTAATGACAGGCCCCTTTGAAGAACTGGGGAGACCTGGTCTTCCTAGCAACATGGGGTGGCAGAGAGGAGTCTCCACACAGTCGCAAACCCAACGGGGCTTCTTTTTTACGAGGCCGGGAAATGTTCAGGGCAGGCTAAAGAACAGGTTAATGAGAGGTTCGGAAAGAAAGTGAAATTAACTTTAATGAGGAGAGAACCCTTTGGAAAGGCCAACGCCCATGGGGGCTGAGATATAAAGGGGGCTGAGGACGGCTGCCGCCTTATTGGGGTTCCTGGTCCCGGGTCTCCCACGCGGCCGGGCAGCTTCGAGACCATGGCTTCCAAGTGCCTCAAGGCCAGCTTCTCCTCCAGGTCCCTCAAGGGTCCGGGCGGGGCCGGCCTGGGCTCCCCCCGCATGTACTCCAGCAGCTCCTGCAAGCTGCCCAGCCTGTCCAGCGGGCCCCAGCCTTTTTCTGCGTGCTCGGCTGGGCTGGGCCGAAGCAGCTGCAAGGCAGCCAGCTGCCTGCCTGCCTTCTGCCTCCCCGCCGGGGGCTTGCCCACAAGCTTCAGCATGGGCGGGGGCTGGTGTGGGGAGGGCATTCTCAACGGCCATGAGAAGGAGACCATGCAGTTCCTGAATGACCGGCTGGCCAACTACTTGGAGAAGGTGCGGCAGCTGGAGCGGGAGAACGCGGAGCTGGAGGGCCGCATCCGCGAGTGGTGCCAGCAGCAGGTGCCCTACGTGTGCCCGGACTACCAGTCCTACTTCCGGACCATCGAGGAGCTCCAGCAGAAGGTGAGGAGGTTCCCAGGTGTCTTTGGGTGTGCTGGACAGCGGGGATCATTTGCAATGGCAGTCTTGTTTCTGTACAGCCTTTTGGGGTGTGGGGGTGGTCTTCCTCCCGTGGCCACATTCGTCCTCCCCAATAACCTCACGAGCGAGGGATCCTCAGCCCACTGGACAGATAGATGATCGCGGAGGCTCAGGCTGGCTCAGTGACATAGCAAGGCGACGCAGCCGGCAGTTGGTGGAGGCAGCATTCGAACGCAGGGTCTGTCCACATACTACCCAGCTGCGCGGTCTTTGATACCGCACTCCACCTCTCCGCCCCTTGACGCTCGCTATTGGAAGGATGTGTTTCGTATAGCTCAGGTGTCTCAGGACTACTGCAGGCCAGAAAGGACAAGCCTGACCGAGGAGTTTCTTCTTGTCCATCTCCTGAGCCAGGGAAGTCACAGCTGGGTCTTGAGAGGGGTCATTTGTGGCCAGAGACACACACAGGACTTCCCTGGGTCCCGCCTTCTCGGCAGCGTTTCCATGGCCCCCTCTCTGTGACCCTGGCTCATAGATCCTAGGTGCATTGCGCTGGAAGAGACCGCACCCGTTTTCTAGTCTGATCCTTTTCTCACGTGCCTGTAAAATACTCAGGGGACCCAAGAGTTCAGGGATGGGTGGCCCTTTCTCCCAGAGGCAGCCTGTGACCGCTCAGGACAGCTTTGGCCAACATAGCACGCTCGCTTTCACTTGAGTTCACGTCTTTATTTCCCCAGACCCTGTGCAGCAAGGCCGAGAACGCCCGGCTGGTGGTGCAGATCGACAACGCCAAGCTGGCTGCAGACGACTTCAGGACCAAGTGAGTGGCTCGCGAGCAAGGGGCTGACACCGCCCTCCTGTTGGCCCCCGGGTCAGGAACTGCATGTTGGTGCCGTTCAGACTCCGAGTTTGGGTTGCATTAAGCAAGCCTCAGGGCTCCAGACTTACCTACAGAAAGGGCCTGTGGCATCAGCACCCTGTTCTGTGATCGCAGGTACGAGACGGAGCTGTCCTTGCGGCAGCTGGTGGAGGCCGACATCCATGGCCTGCGCAGGATCCTGGATGAGCTGACCCTGTGCAAGTCCGACCTGGAGGCGCAGGTGGAGTCCCTGAAGGAGGAGCTGCTGTGTCTCAAGAAGAACCACGAGGAGGTGAGTCTGGCAGGGTGGAGGGGTGGGGGCGCCTGAAGGAGCATGTGGGCATGGAGAGCCAGTGGGCATGAGGGAGCAGGGGAGAAGGTGGGCGGCCAGGGATGTCGGCGCCGAGCTTGGTTTGTGCCTCAGGAAGTGGACTCGCTGCGCTGCCAGCTGGGGGACCGGCTCAGCGTCGAGGTGGACGCTGCCCCGCCTGTCGACCTGACCCGTGTTCTGGATGAGATGAGATGCCAGTATGAGACCCTCGTGGAGAATAACCGCCGAGATGCTGAAGACTGGTTCAGCACCCAGGTAGGTACCTAGAACCAGCCAGGGCAGCAGGGATGGGTGACAAGAAGCACAGACGTGGCTCCGGGGCGCTACCCTAAGGAACCCAACCTTGAGTCCCAGCTCAGCTTGTGCGGTCTTGGGCAGGTTACTGTCCTCGAAGCCCTGGTGTCCCTGGGTCTGAAAGGAGTGGGCTGGACCGGGTCATCTGAAAGGGTCTTTCTGGCTTGTGATGCTAAGTGGCCTCTGAAGCTGAGCCCTGAGTGTTCCTGATCAGGTTGTGTGTGTGTGTGTGTGTGTGTGTGTGTGTGTGTGTGTGTGTGTTTCAGACGGAGGAGCTCAACCAGCAGGTGGTGTCCAGCTCGGAGCAGCTGCAGTCCTGCCAGGCCGAGATCATCGAGCTGAGACGCACCGTCAACGCCCTGGAGATCGAGCTGCAGGCCCAGCACAGCATGGTGAGTCCTGAGGCTTGAGCAAGCCTGCTGGACTAGTAGCTAGTAGCACACGAGCCCTCAGTCCCCTGCTCCGGCAACATAGGCAGGCTCCACAGTTCACGGTCTTGACCACCCAGGGCTTCTCTGGGCACAGAGGCGGGAGTGAGGGCCAAGCACGGAGCCTTAGCTAACCCCATTGGTAAAAAACTGGGACCTATAGTGCCCGGCATGTCCTGGCAGCAGCACTGGTATTTGCGTGAGTAGTTACGCCTCCCCAATAATTATCGGTTCCTCAAAGATGTTGTTAAGATGGGAGAGTTTCTCTAGGAGGGCTCAGGGGCTAATTGGCTCACCTCAAATGCGATGTGTGATCAGGGAGCTGGCGTGGCCCATCCTAGTTCAAAGTGCTTCTCTGAGATTCTCTGCTGTTGCGTTCGGAGGCCTCCCTGAGATCCAGGTGGATACAGAACAGCATCCTCGTGCCTTCGCTGATCTCACATCTCTCTCCTCCCGGGCCAACCTCTGTCCTCCCAGAGAGATGCTTTGGAATCCACTCTGGCTGAGACCGAGGCCCGCTACAGCGCCCAGCTGGCCCAGATGCAGGGCCTGATCACCAACGTGGAGTCCCAGCTGGCCGAGATCCGGGCTGACCTGGAGCGGCAGAACCAGGAGTACCAGGTGCTGCTGGACGTGCGGGCCCGGCTGGAGGGCGAGATCAACACGTACCGCGGCCTGCTGGAGAGCGAGGACGGCAAGTGAGTGTCGTGATGTGTCCTCCTGTCATTCGAA